CTTCTGCCTTTCCAGTGCTGGGGCTGGAACTAAAGGTGAACAGTTTCTGAATATTTTTTTTCTTTTTTTTATTTTATTTATTTTACAATACTATTCAGTTCAGTTTCTGAATTTTAATTGGATAATTTCTGAAATTTTAACTTGGGATTGACTCAACATATATATTCATTTTCATGATATAAACATCTGTTTGAGCAGAGATGTTTTATTAGGCGTCTGTTTACTGGCAGTAGTGCCCAGGATAGTGTCTTCTGTACAGCAAGAGCCTCAAGTGATGGTTTAAAAGTGTTAAAATAATAAAGCCATTTTAAAAATTAAGTTGAAATCTTAATTCTCCACAAATATCACAGTATTTAATAAAAGTAAATGTGTATGCTTGACCTCCTCATGCACTCAAAAGCCTAAACATGGACTATTTTAAGTCCTAAGAAGATATTAAGCTGAAATTTCTTCCTTATTTTGGTGTTCTATAATAGGTAAGCATAATTGGCTTTATCTTTAGTCTGAGTTCATAATAAAAATCTCAACACTCTTCACAACTCTTAAGCAGGTTTTGCATTTTTTACGAGTATAAATATGAGTAAATTAAGCCCATAACAGGTTGCTGAGTTACAGGACCATGAGTAAATGGTCTGTTGCTAAGTTAAAAGAAGGACAGGGGAAGCCGGGCAGTGGTGGCACACAACTTGAATCCCAGCCCTTGAGAGGCAGAAGCAGGTGGATCTCTGAGTTCGAGGTTAGCCTGGTCTACATAGTTCCAAGACAGTCAGAGCTACACAGTGAGACCCTGTCTCGAAACAAACAAAAACAAGAACAGGAAGTTCTCCTCTCCTGAGTCCCCAACACAACAGACCATAGCTATGAGCCATTTAAAAAGAAGTTTTAGTTTTTGAACTGTTTTTCTTTAGCTAAGAGCTATTTTGGACAGTGGGTAGGTAAACTCTTATTTAAAAAAAAAAAAAAAAAAGCAATAGGTGCCCCTCCCCCATACTTTATTAAGTACAGGATGACAGGTTAATTTCTATAAAAATGAAAACTGGTTCAGCTAAAGATTATGACTGGGAAATTAATATAAATAGTGGCCTGGTACCCGTGGTACACGCCTCTTGGTAAAAGATGCCAGCAGGGTTTGCAGAGCTGCTTCTCCCATGAATCACCACGGCCCAGGAGGCAGTTCGGCTAACTAGTGAGCAAAAAGTCTCCCCTTTGGCCAGCTCTCAGCTCAGTTCAATGTAGTAAACGTTGGGATGGTGGAATCACTTTTATTCTCATAGAGTAAAGGAGTACAAAGTACAAAGACTAAGAAATCAAATGGCAGTTTATTTACAATGCCCATACTTGACTCCGTGTTTTATCTTTAACCCTTAGAATTGTGTGGTGGGTACCTATAGAATAGGTGCTGATTTTTTTATTTGAAACTGTAAATAGACAGAAACCCACTGACTTAGGTGTTAAGTGTTGTTGCAAGGCTGGGCAGTGGTGGCACACACCTTTAATCTCAGCACTCAGGAGGCAAAGCCAGGCAAATCTCTGTTCAAGTTCCAGGACAGGCTCCAAAGCTACACAGAGAAACCCTGTCTCAAAAAAAAAATAAAAAGTAAAAAACAAACAAGAAATATTTGCAAGGTTTCATAGACTTCTTGAGATTTTTGGCAGAAAATATAATTTTAAGTATCTTTATGGGTTGTGTTTTGTTTTGTTCACTTTTAGGATGATTCAAATGTTTATATATGATCTTGCTTATACAATCTTTAAAAGTGTAGAGAATATAATTTTTGTCTTCCTAAGTTTAAAATCAGTGGAAATCTGTGGTTCAAAAAGATGCCTTTAATGAGTTTTCTGTTTAGATTTACTGTGAACTGGTCTTAGGCAGAATTAGAATTGTTCGTGTGCTGATGTTTTGATTAATCAATTTATGAGTATATTTTGTCGTTTGAGCATATTTATCTTTGGTCTTTTCCCCCTTTGAGCCAGTCATATGTATACTGTGAGGTGGGGACTATTAAATGGTAGGGATATTGAAGCAGGGGAATTTGACACATGAGGAACTCAGGTCACTGAGCTGCTTTGTGAACATTATTTTGAACTTCTTTATTTTCTAAGGCTAATGATTAAGTATTGACAGTAGTTATATATCATGGTATATAGAATCCATTTTTTCACTTAATGAGTTTGTTTTCGCTTTCTCTGATTTGTGGAAGGAAGATAAAAATCCATTTCATTTGCACTAATTAGAAAGATAGACATAAAATACACTGGAAGTATATCTTATTCCTATAAATGTTTTAAATTGATAAACTGGCAGGATATAGTGATACATGCCTTTAATCCCAGCACTCAGGAGGCAGAGGCAGGCGGATCTCTGTGAGTTCAAGGCCAGCCTGGTCTACATGGCAAGATCCAGGCTAACTAGGGCTGCAGTAGTGAGACTGTCTCAAAAGACAAACAAATTTTATTGCAAGTGCTGCTTACCAGGGAAATCTGGGTTCAGTGACTAATCCATTTGACCATACTTTGGTAGTGTTTTAACATGCCGGTTCCCTTCTCTGTGGCTGAATACCCAATAGCAGGATTACTGGGTTACGTTGTAGTTCTGTTTCTGATTCATTCCCCAAATGACTCCCTGGCAGGACTCTCTGTTCCTCCATCCTTGCAGTCCTTGTCTTTTTATAGTAGCTATTTCAGCTGGCTTGAGGCAGTGCCTTGTGGCTTCAGCTCGCACGTTCTTGCTGTTTGTGGTACTGAGCATTCTTTTTCATATGCCTGTTAACCATCTATTTGCATGTCTTTTTTGGTTTTTGGAGACAGGGTTTCTCTGAGTAACAACTCTGGCTGTCCTGGAACTCTCTTTGTAGACCAGCCTGGCTTTGAACTCACAGAGATTCATCTATGTTTATAGCTCATTTTTATCTATTACCCATTTCAGATGTATAGTGTACAAAATTCACAACCAGCTTTTTTCTTTTTAATGTCTTAGAGTCTGTTCTTACACATTACAATGGAAATTAATTTGTCTCTTAACATTTAGAGAGAAAGACCCTGATGTTAATTTAGTTAATATTAGCTTTCTATTTTTAACTCTTTAAGTAAGGAATCATTTGCCAACCAGAATATGGAAAAGGAATTTAAATTTGATAAACAATGACATTTTTCTGTCTTGCAGACCTCCGTGAGTGAAAGCCTTCAGAGGGAAGCTGCTAAGAAGCAGGCCATGAAACAGGTAGGAAACGAAAAGAGTAAATGCATTTTACCAAGTGTTTTGGTACCCAGTACTGAGAGTAAACAGAATAAACCTGTGGAGTGAAGTTATTCATTTCTTACTATGTGTAGAATGTTTCTCACTGTATATAGATTGCAGACTTTATGCATTTTAAAGGAAGATACAATTGGCTCTTCCAGGCTGTAGATTAAACCAGCTTTGCCCACAGCTGACTCAGCAGTCTGGTAATAGGTTGTTTGGATCATTGGGATTTGTTTCTTTATTCAGTTTCACTTGGAATCACTTGTCAGAAGAAGAAAGTCTAGCCATAGCCAAAGTGATTTCACAGTTACTTTGAATTCATCTGCCAAGAAGTAGGGAGTAGTCAGGTCATGTTCAGCAGTGGTTCTGTTAGGAGCGCCCTAGAGGCTTTAAGCACATCTTCCCAGGCATCCATTGTCTTTCAGAATTCTGAAGACTCATCCATGCTTCTGACGAAGCACCAGTTGCCCTTTTGATGACACAGATATATGAAAATGAACTGACTTCCGGTGATAGTGTGTCTCGGGTTTTGATGGCCAGGGTGGAGTGTTGACAGTAGTTATGTATCATGGTGCACCCTTCTCACCTGCCGCCCTTGCTCTCCCCACGGCGACTGCCTCTGCTGCTTCTGTCCATTTCCAAACTAACTTACGAAGTTTGATTACAGTTACCGGAGTGTAAAGAAAATATGAACTAGGAAATGGATGCTACTTTAATAGTCTTTTTTCTCTTATTTATTTGGACCTGAATTACATAGAAGTGATGATGACATTTTTGTATTTTACCTATTTCACTGGAAAAATACTGTTTGTCATGATTAAATACAGCATTTTAGTGTGATTACCTAAATTGAAAAAAGTCTAGGGTTGGGGATTTAGCTCAGGGGTAGGCCCTGGGTTCGGTCCTCAGCTCCGGAAAAAAAAAAAGAGAGAGAGAGAGAAAAGTCTAATGATGGGATTGTTAGCACTCACAGAATAAGCTAGTAATATTAATACACACACACACACACACAAACACATACTTTGTAGGTTTATTTTTACTTTAAAGGTGCGTGTGTGAGCGTGCGTGTGCACGTGTGGGTGTGAGTGACATGCCCTGGCAGGTGTGAGGTCAGCAGCTGGTCCTCCCCGTCCCTGTTGAGTGCTCTCCCTAGTCTGTTCCTTGTTTCCGCCGCTGCTGTGCTGCTTCCTCCCGCTTCCAGCCTGTTTGCCTGTGGTCGCAGCAGTGCTGGGGTTGCAGGCGTGCAGACCGCAGCCCACTCGTGCACGTGCTCCCCGGGGCTGCACACGGGTCAGTGCTGCTCAAGTGCTGTTAGCTGCTGAGCCGTTTCTCCTGCCCTGCCATGTGCGTGCGTGCGTGCTGTGCGTGGTGTGTGTGTGTGTGTTTATTTAGAAATAAAGTCTTGCCTATCACCTAGGCTGGCCTAGAATCTGTAATGCCCCTGCCTTAGCCTACCAAGTGCTAGGATCATAGATTTATACCACCATGCATTGCTTCATACTACTTTTTTCAGGTTTACTTTGTTTGTTTGTTTGTTTGTTTGTTTAAAAAATTACTACATTTATTTTTTAAATTGTAGGTGGGGGTGTGACATGGCATGTGTGGAGGTCACAGGCCCTAGGATTGCTCTCCCGTCATCGTAGTTGGTCAGGCTCAGCTCCTTTTCAGAGATTTTTTTTTTTTGAAGTTTAAGTTCTTAGAATTAGTTACAGTGAAATTTTAATTAAAAGCCCTACAAAAATGCTTGCCAGTGTTACAATAGTGTAGCCATTTTCAGAGACCTTAATGACTGTGGTTGTCCTCAGGGCTTGTGATACAGCATTACTATTGCCAGCTTTTTCTAAATTTCTACAGAAACATTGGCTAGCTTTGTTTTTATTGTTTTCAATCATGTATGACTGTGGGTATCTCTATGTAGATATATGCTTACCCTTGGATAGTGTAGATACCCAGGGAAGCCAGGCCCATTGGATCCTCTGGAGCTGGAGTTACAGGTGGTTATGAGCTGCCAAATGTAGGAGCTGGGACTAAGCTGCAGTCCTCTGCAAAACAGTGTACCTTAACCACTGAGCTGTCTGTCCAGCCCCTCCTCCTGGGATTTTTAGATGAGTACATAAATCTTTTGTTCATTGCCTTGTCCGATATAATTCTTTAAGGCAGTATATTTAACCTCAGAGCATTCCTATATTTTGTTTTTGTTTTTTGAGACAAGGTCTCATTTTGGAGCCCTAGCTAGCCTGGAGCTCACTATGTAGCCAACCCTGTTCTTGAACTCCCCAATCTTCCTGCCTCCACCTCCCAAGTCCTGTGATTACATGTGCCACCACTTCCAGATGTTTTGTTGTTAGTTTTTGGAGATGGCTATATAATCTTTCTTAGATGTCATGTTTCCCTCTTTGGGTTCGCCAGCTAGTCGGTGGAGGGAGCAGCTGTTCATTGTCATTTTCTGAACATTGAAAAGTCCAGGATGTGGGATTCTTGATATTTTTAACAATATTCCAGATAAAGTGTATTCATTTGTATGTACATTATTCTAGACTCTGAAGATTTAGTGCAGAAACCTAGGACACACTGAAGCTGTAGCTCAGTGGTAGTGGATTTGTTTGCCATGTACATGGCCTTGGGTTCAATCCTTAGTACTGCAAAGAAACCTGAAGATAACCAGGTAGATTCTTTTGAATAGTTATATCACCCTTTCTTTAAAAGGACCACTCAGCATCTGTATTAAACAAGTCAGTATAGCACTTCAAGAAAAAATAAATATGTACAGCTCTGCATTTCAGAAACTAATTAGTTGGAACAAAAGATTACAGTTTGTGGTGTAACATTATGTGGTAACATTAAACATACTATTAGGAGTCCAGGGGATGGAGAGATGGGTTGGCAGTTCAGAGTACTGGCTGTTACTGCAGAAGACCAAGGTTCAGGTCCAGCACGTACATGGAGGCTCACAACCACATTAATTCCTGTTCCAGGGGATTGGACTCCCTCTTCTGTTCTCCTGGTCACTATGTAGTACACAGACATACATGCAGGCAAAACACACATAAAGTAAATCTAAAAAAGAAAAGAGTTGAATGCTGAAGTGTACAGTGTTTTATCAGAGTCAGAAGAAATACAGTGTTGGTAATTAAATTTCTCGGAGATGACCTCCTTTAAGATGTAGAGGTTGAATAGCCCTGAAACTCACAGGTAAGTTTGTTGTTGTTGTTTTTAAGATTTGTTTTATATGTATAAGTTTTTTGCCTGCATGTATGTGCACAACTTGCGTGCCTGATGTCCCCAGAAACCAGAAGAGAGCATCAAATCTCCTGAACTGGAGTTAATGCATGGTTGTGAACCAACATGTGACATGTGCTGGGAATCAAACCCAGGTCCCCTGCAAGAGCAGCCAATGCTCTTAACCCCTGAGCCATCTTACTAGCCTCTAAATAAGATTTTGATGTGCCAGAAGAGGAAGAACAAGATAGAAACATGATAAAAGCAGAGGACATTATGCAATTGATAGTGTAAAACTAATTGCGATATGGTTCCCATTTAATGCTGTGTTTAGATTTTTTTTTTTTTTTTTTTTTTTTTTTTTTTTTTTTTGGTTTTTTGAGACCAGGTTTCTCTGTGTAGCTTTGTGCCTTTCCTGGGACTTACTCTGTAGCCCAGGTTGGCCTTGAACTCACAGAGATCCTCCTGCCTCTGCCTCCTGAGTGCTGGGATTAAAGGCATGCGCCACCACTGCCTGGTGTGTTTAGATTTTTTTAATGATAGGAACTTCAGTGTGTTTCCTGTGATCATACTTTTGAAAACTATTTATTAGGAAACCTCATTTCTTAAATGTAATCGGTGTTATTGGACACTTACTCCCTGTGTTATCACAGCTTAGTAGATGTAATCATCATTCTTGTAGGCGAGGAAACTAAAGCACAGAAACTGCTCAAAGTAGGAGGAGCCAAGACTCAGCCCCAGGCGGTCAGTGGTAGAGGTTACATTCGCACTTCCTGTCTTGAGATGTGGCTGGTGCAGTTGTTAAGATGCCTTTCTGATTTACGAACCTTGATGAAAAACGTAAGACCTTTAGTGGTATCTGTTGGCTGCTGCATATGTTTTAAACATTTGCTTTTTTTTTAAGACCAAACTGGAGATTCAGAAAGCTCTTGCAGAAGATTCCACTGTGTATGAGTATGACAGCATCTATGATGAAATGCAGAAAAAAAAGGAAGAAAACAACCCCAAATTGCTTTTGGGGAAAGATCGAAAGGTTAGTAGCTGAAATATAACTTTCTTTGATCTTGGCCTGGTTTGTTTGTTTGGTTTTGGTTTTGATGTTATTTTGAAAGTGACTTCAGTAAAAATTTTAGGTATTGCAATGAGTTCTTAGTTCTAAATTATAGATTTGATTTTAGAATATAGGTCCTAGCAGATGTCAAGTAATTATCCAGTGTTTCTGAAGTTTTTTTAATCTTGAAACCTTCACAAATAATTTTTTGAAAATGTTTCTTTAGCAATTCTGTATACTAGATTTATCCTGATTTGTTTTCTGATTCATTGTTGAAGTAAGACTATCAAGTAGCCAGGCACTATGAGAGGCAGAGGCAGGTGGGTATGAGTTCAAGGACAGCCAGGCTACATAGTAAGACCCTGTTTCAAAAAAATTTTTTTTTAGAGCCAGGCATGGTGGAATATGCCACTGGGAGACTGAGGCAGGAGGGTCTGAAGATGAGAGCCATCCTTGGATATATAGCAAGTTCCAGGCCAACTTAGACTGTGTCGTGCGCTATCTCAAAAGATAACTGGCAGCTGGGAACTAGACAGGATAACACTGAAGAAGCAGGCAAGAGGACTGCCATGAATCTGAGGCCAGTCTGGTCCCAGCACCACACGGAGGTGGGGCAGGTTTCTCTAGCCTTCTCCTGCCTTGAACTGGACATTATAGACTGAGCTGGTCTTGACTTGGTGTGACTATCCTGCCTTTGACTCCCATGGGCTAGGATTACAAGTGTGTGCCACCATTCCATCTGCTACACTTAAATTTTTAGTAGAAACCATTTCAGTAGTACTTCTGCAGGCAACCTTCTTATTCTGATTTTTGAAAAGACATACTACTTAAATTAAACATTTTGATATTAATGGGTGTCATTTTTTCCCTCTTTTCTAAATGTATTTTCCATAGCCCAAATATATTCACAACTTACTAAAAGCAGTTGAGATCAGAAAAAAGGAACAGGAAAAAAGAATGGAAAAGAAAATACAGAGAGAACGAGAGATGGAAAATGGAGAATTTGATGATAAAGAGGCATTTGTGACATCTGCTTATAAAAAGAAACTGGAAGAGAGAGCTGAAGAGGAGGAAAGAGAGAAGAGGGCAGCTGCCCTGGAAGGTAGGGGAGGAGGGAACGCATGCACAGAGTGCTGCCCGAGCCGTGTGCTCTGTCGCCGGGCTCGGCTCTACTGCTGTGGCTGCAGTGTGTGCGTCTGTATGGGGAGAGGTCGTGTCAAACCAGAGACGCAGCTGAACCCTTAACTACCTGCTGTTCCTCTGGGGCTTTTCATTTACTTCTTATTATTACTTTAAGCTATGATCACTACAAGCCATTGTCTTAGAAATTCCAAATGTAACAACATTACATTTGCCAGAAACATAAATAAACTTGAAACTCTAATTACGTATTCTGAGATGAGAAAATGTTTAACACCACTGAAGGAACATTAACTGGGCAGTTAGAAAAAGAGTACCATTAATAATCAGGGGCTAAGGAATATCTTAGCCATTGACTTGAGTGCTCTCTGAGTCAGTTTCTCAAGGTCAAACTATGATGTGTACTTGTCCATAACTTAATTGGCCAATGCTCTTCAATGTCAAGTGAAAGAAAACTAAATCTGCAAGGTGGTTCTGGGCCAGGGAAATGGCTCATCAGGTAAAGGAGCTTGCCACCAAGCCTGGCAGCCTGAGTTTGATCCCTCGGATCTACATGATGGCAAAAGAGAACCAACTCCCACAGGTTGTCCATGACCTCCACATGCATGTGCATAGACACACAAATCAATCTAAAAACATTGAGAGGTGTATCCCTGACTCCTGGTCTAGAGAAGGTTTATGCGTCTTGGTGGGATTTATGTTCTGCATATGTAGAAGGAAGCTGCACTGTGCTTTCTGAGTCCGCATTCTCAGTTTGTCTCTGCTTTTCCTCCAGCACGATTGGATGTGACCAAGCAGAAAGACCTTAGTGGGTTTTATAGGCATCTGTTAAATCAAGCCGTGGGTGAGGAAGCACTTCCTAAGTCCAGCTTCCGTGAAGCCAGGTAAGAGGTGGAAGTGGAATGTTTAGAAGAAAGATGCCCTTGACAGTCTGCGGTTATGCCATTTGGGAGTCTAAACTCTTGAGTAGATGGGGACAGCATTGGCTGTTTATTGTATTTTAGCCAACATGAGTGGAGTTTACAGTTTCTGAACTTAAAAAACCTAAAGATTTTGTTCAACATAGTTTTTAGTCTACAGCTCACAAAAAAATTATTAGTGTACATTAAAACATTTTAGTGTACAAAATTTCTGACTAAGTGCTTTATGGGTCTTTTGTATGGCCTTATAGGAGAAACAAAACCAAAGTGTGGTCTTTCTTCAACTAAAAACATTTATAGCCTGAGAACAATCACTGCAAGAAGTAAGGAGAGATCGGTAAAGGATTGGGTTGTACAGCATGTAATTCTACATGATCATTAGATAGCATATAATACGAAAGTAGCTTATTTTCTAGAGTAGAACCCAGCCTCCATAAAGGTCATATTCACAAATCAGAGACTAAAACTACCCTGTCTAATATCAGCAGTAGTTACATGTTGGGTATTCAGGTAACTTAAAAGTAAATAAAATCTGAAATT